AAAGACACAGGTCAGTGAGCCCAGTGGTTATTACTGACAAACATGTCCACTGTCTAAAGACACAGGTCAGTGAGTCCAGTGGTTATTACTGACAAGGTCAGTGTTTATTACTGTGGGACAGATGACTGTTGGCTGAGTGACTGTCAGTAGCTGCTGACATATTAACTTAGTGTGTAAAGTAATATTCCACAAGAGAACCTAATATTTAGTCATTAGACAAAAACAAAGTTTTTCTGTTGGAGACGTTTTAATAAAAGAATGAATAGTAAGTAGGCTTCACTTCTATTATTGTGCTCAAGTATAATGTACTTTTGTTGCTGTGGTTATTAGTTGACATTACTTTATTTAAGTCCAGATTTTACTAACGTCAGTGCTCAGCCTGAATCTGTAAAGTTAAAAACCCCAACTCATAGCCACATTAACACAGTTACCACCTTAAGAACCTATGGAGGATTAAAGGACTAATGTATCAGCAGGTCTTGTCCCTCCATTTATCTTCAGTCAACTTGACTATTGTAATGGTGTGTTCAAAGGTCTCTCAAGAAATCAATCAGAAAACTGCAGATAATTCAGAAAGCTGCTGCTTGAGTCCTCACTAACACCAAGAAAGTTTCTGTACATTCATACAATTACTCATTTTATTACACTGCACTGTTATTTCAACTCTTATTCTTATTCTATTTATCTATTTGTGTATTTGAGTCTTTTAATTTTCCTTGTTGTTGAAATACGCTGTACAAATAAACTTGCCTTGCCCAAACACGTGATCAGCTTAAAAATGTGAAACCCGGATGAAACTAGCCAATAGCAAGAAAAGTAGTTCAAATGATTCACTTTGATCAGGTACGGAGGTGTCGCTCCTACTGGAATAATGGATCTTTCACCATTGATTTCAGATGGATGTCGGAGTTTAGTTGAGGCCAGTAAGCAAGAAAAGACTTTGATTCCCATCATATTTGCATTTGGTCCAATGACTGATGCAGTCCAAAGAAGATGAAGCGCGTGAGTGCTTTGTGAATATTTCCTTTTGTATGGCCTGTGCGTAGAATTCAGGGCAGTTTTACTGACGTCAGCAAACCAGCCTCTTTGAAAATGCCGCTGTAGCAGATCCATGCATGCTCCGCACAGTAGCTGTCACAGAATGTCACCTGATAGAGGAGCTTCTTGTTCCAATTAGCTACTGAATGATCGGTTGTACTGAAAGTCACAGACGTGCTGATGTACTTCATATATTTTATCAACTGAAAACGTCTCAAAATCTGTGTTTCTGTCATATAAAGTATTTTGATGACAAATCAAGCTGTGTGAATAAGATTGCTGTGGTTTGTCTATGTTATGGAATACCATGACGGGAGTATGGCACGTAACCTCAAGCCCCCTCCTCTGCAACGCGGCACCTAAAAAACCATGGAGGCATGACAAATGGGGCATTGTCACACATTACTTATTATTGCTTACTCTGAGCACTATGGGCACTTGTACCATGGACGGGCCCTTTAAAGGAACATTCGTTTCAATTATCTGTTGTGCATTATCCCTGCATCAGCTCACCGCAGTAATGTCATGTGCACAGTCGTTGGACTGAAAAAGCCATGGCACACATGGGACAGTTTGTTTTTCCCATGACTATGGGTTACAGTTCGTTTAATCATTTATATAGAGGAGATACCAAAGTTTTGGATGACACCTCCACTTCCAAACTGTTGAAAAGGGAGCTTTTTAAAATGGTGTTTAAAATACAGTTTGTGTTTAAAAGGTACAGTGTGTAGAATTTTGTGATATCTTGTGTTGAAATTGCATGTTGCAGCTGAACACCCCTCACCTCACGCTCCCCTTCCAAACATGAAAAAGAACCTGTGGCAGCCTTCAGTTGTCATTGTCCATATATCTATGAAATGCACTGTGTTAAAATCCAGAGCACAAAATCCCCCACATAATCAAAGTCACAAACACTTCTAAGATGACTCACTACACCTTTTCCTCTTTACTTGCAATGTATTTATGATGTGCATATTGCTTAAAGGTCCAGTGTGTAAGATTTAGTTGAAAGGGATCTATTGTCAGAAATGTAATGTAGAATAATCCTCTTGATGTTTTCACTAGATTGTTTAATCTAAATTGTATGAATTGTAGTTTTCTTTACCCCAGAAAAGGCCCTTTATATTTAAGCAATTTATATTACATTAGTCCAGAGTGGACAAACTAAACACCTTTTGAGTTTTTGACAACTGAAGCTGCCACAGGTTCTTTTTCATGTTTGGAAGGAGAGAGTGAGGTGAGGGATGTTGTCCCTAAAATAATGGATGGCTCTTTGCTTTGTGGTGAAATCATCCAGAAGAAATGACGGTGTTACTCTGCCTGTAGACCAACATGTAAAATGTTTAATTTGCCCCAGTTTTTTCCAACTGAGTAACTCCCATTCCCTCTCCCCTTTCACTCCCCTAGTAAAACATCCAGAAATGCTATTGCTATCCTCACTGATCTCTGACCGAGCACAATATAGTTAGGTTACATGCCAGCAGCAGGTCTCTATGGTCCTCTGATCAGGGTTTGCTGGTTGTTAGTAGAGTGAGGAAGGAGACTATACTTTCAAACTGCTGTGAGGAATTTGCCTCAGTGTGCTCACAATACAACAGGACAGACACAACACTAAACACAACAGAAATGTGTGTTGTGATTTTTCTGGTTCATAAAATATCACCAGATAAAAGCTCTTTTTAGACATGAACTCCAAATAATGTCCGCAGAATTGGGGCCTGACTTTCTGAAGAGTTTTCCTTTTACACACAAACAACTCAGGAGGAGATTCTCGTCTCAGACACATTCACAACACATCAGAAATCTCCGGAGCATTCAGGTGAGGGGTGACGCTGCATGGCTCTGGCCTCTGTCCTGTGTTAGAAACGTCATAAGCATGCCCACTCGCTGGCAGTGAATCCCCCAGGGGATCTTGTGTTTTCACGTTGGCTTATTCAGACATTGTCCTGAGGTCTTATAAGGGGACTGGCCGGAGAAACTCTGGAGAAAGTCTGGAGGCTCTCACTAGGATCCTTTGCCTTCTCACAGCCCCTCTGTAGAATATCTGGAGATTCTCCGGAGTTCAGCGCAGGTCTGAAAGCAGCTAGATGAGATATAGATACTTTGCACAGTGACCTAAATACATTAGAGGCACAAACAGGATCTAGGTGCCACACTGACAAAATGTTAGGATCAACTGCTGTAAACAAACTTAAAGGGTATAAACAACTTTTCACAACTGCTTGAATTTAAGGATGCAAATTATGTTTGTATTTCAGCTTCGTTATTTTATTTTGCATGGCTGTATTAGTATTTGATTACTTTCCATACCGGGATAATAAACTATATTTTTGTGTGTCTGTCTCTAGATTCCGGTATTACCAGAATGTCTGCACTTCTAGCTATTCCTCTGTGTGGTGGGACTGGCCAAGATGGGAACGAGAGATTGACTGGATGGCACTCAATGGCATCAATCTGCCACTGGCGTTCACTGGTCAAGAAGCCCTGTGGCAAGAGGTTAGAGCAAACCTGTTCACCTGAAATCAAATACAGTCTTAACAAAATCTACACTGAACCACAGGAACACAGTTAAAACAGCTCCTACTATCTGCTCCATTATTGGCTTCTTAAAAACTAGATTTCAATATACTTAAAAAATATTTTTCGGCTTTTAAAATGATTACGCTTGGCAAATAGGTGCTAGACATTGAATCAAGAGTTATGTAGATGAATTCCACACTCTAGTTTTGTAGAGTTCAATAAAACTTTTTTTGAAGTCTAGTAAAGATTTGATTTCATCTTTCAGGTCAGATATGATCAGAAAAGCCATGGTGTAAAGGAAACCTCGAAGATCGACAACACTGATAAATTGTCTGTTGTTCTCTGATAAACAGCAATGAAGATAAGAGGGGAAGAGATTTTCTAACTTCTTGTTTGACCCTCTCTGAAAAAAAAGATACAGTACATACCTTGATATGTGTAGCAGCATGTGAACATCGGTTTTTGGGTGCTGTGGAGTAGAATGGGTCGCTCTCTAACCAGAAGTTTGGAGGTTCGATCACCTGCTCCTTCAGTCTGTATGCTGAAATGTCCTGGGGTAGATGCTTAACCGCAAATTCTGTGCTGACATTGTGTGATAAAAACAAATCTCTATGTGAGTGTGTGTGTGGTTTGTGTTCTGAGTACTTGAAATGACTAGAAAAGCGCTATACAAAAACAATCCATGTATTAACTTTTGATGTATGTCTAGGTTTACCGTTCTCTTGGACTTAACCAGTCGGAGATTGAGGAATTCTTCTCCGGCCCGGCGTTTCTTGCCTGGAACCGAATGGGAAACATGTTCAAGTTTGGCGGGCCTCTGCCACAGTCCTGGCATGTGAACCAGCTCTACCTCCAAGTACTGAAACCTCCATACTTGTCAACACAGTTTATGTGCACAATCACAACACCCACTTGTAATTAAGAACTATTGATCTGAATGTAGCATGTAGACTGCACCTGTTTTCATCTGACAGTTTTCAATGAATTGAAACTTCTTCCGAACTACTTCTTCCGAATAATTTACATAAGCAATCTGTGAATGGTGGCTTCAGTTTGAAAATTAAAACTATAATGACGAGTATTTGAAGTGATCTCAAATTTTAAAAAAAAAGTAGATATTATTTATTTAAAGTAATGTATGAGTTGTAACGTTAAAGGGCCCATGTTGTACACCTTTGCAGTGTTTTTTTATAAGTATTGATCCATAAGATGTATTTGTGGTCGTAAGGATCAAAAACAATCTCAATGTAGTTTTACATGTCCTCTCTCATTCTTCTCTGTGGAGCTCAGCCAATCAGAGGCTCTTCTGACTGTTATGAGTTAGCACTACAGCACTACAATGAGCTGAACAGATGGCCATCTGGACTCAAATGCTCAGACAGGATCATCTGGTTGTGTTTGGCTGCCTGTCCAGAGTGTTGCAGAGTCCAATATGAGTCCAGGTCCAATGCAGGAGCGGTGGAGCTACCTCCATCTCACTCGTGTCAGTTTGCTTAAAGGCCAACAAGGGAACCACAGCAGAAGCATTGTATGATGGCAGAATCCAAGACCATCCCAGACATCAGGGCGGTGGCAGTGATTGGGCTTCTCAGACAGCAAGTGGACAGTGGAATAGAATTTTGAATGCGATTGAGTAGGCCTGCAGACAAGAGGCTGAGAGGCTGGCTACATTGAGGAACGTCTACCGGCAGCAGCATTACCAGAACTTAAACACTGGGATTATGGTGGGAAATGCTTTTCCTGGGCATAGGCCTTGTCCTTTTTTCAGAGCTCCAATTCCTGAACGGTGCCCAACTCCAGGTGGGCCATACTGGGGGCATGGCTTAGAGCGGTGACATCACATAATTGTAGAAGTCGTGACAGCTTGTTTCAAGACATAATTATTATGGCCTGTTTGTATTTATTGGTGGTTTAAGCACTTTGATACTCAGAGTATTAATATCACATGGACCTGCTGTACAATCAAAAGGACATAGAAATAACTTTCCACAATATGGGCCTTTCAAATTTCAGTTACAAGTTACTTAACAAAGGAAGTATTAAGACCTATAGGCAATGATGAAATCTAGTTTAGTACATTTCACTTGAGCTGTTTTGGAATGAATCTCCTCACATGCCATTTTGTGTCTTTGTGCAGTTTCGAATCTTGGAGCGAATGAGATCATTTGGCATGATTCCTGTGCTGCCGGCCTTCTCTGGGAACATCCCCAAGGGAATCCTCAGGTAACTTATTGATCTTTATGTTCAAGCATTTCACCATTATACACTTTTCTGCTTTATGTACATATGAAAGCCTCATCAACGCTGGATTTTGAGACTCATACCAGTAGTGATAATAGAGCCAACATTCGACTTGTCTTTTAATAGTTGTGACCAAATGTTCATTGAGTGAAACATTTTACGTTTATTATTTAATTTAAAGGTAATGAGCCGAATTAATGAATGGCCACATAGGTTGGGTTGTTATAGGTGGCACACTTCAAAGTACTTCTTTTATTGTTCTGTATTCAGTGACTGGCCATGTGTGTCAGCTTGCCCCAAATTGCCCCTCATAGAAAAAAAAAAGTGCTGCTAATAGATGCACTGTATGAATGTGTGTGAATGGGTGTGAAGCGCTTTGAGTGGTCATCAAGACTAGAAAAGTGCTATATAAATACTGCAGTTCATTTGAATGCGGCACCATGGAGACACTGTCTGAAAGTGTGTACTGGTATCATCAGGCTTTTAAACCTGCCTCTGATTGTGGCAATTTGGGATAGGTATGAAAACCTGACCGTCAGATGTGGTCGGAAGTTACTTCGTACAAACGTATACAGTTACTACATTATAGAGAAAATTAAGTTTGAACTCCACCGGGCACACATTTCTTTCTAAGTGCATGATGCATCGTATAAAACCACTCTTCAAATTCAAAGCCTTTGAATCACTGAAGTGTTCTTTGTATTTCAGGTTGTATCCAGAAGCAAACGTAACCAGACTGGGGCCTTGGTCTCATTTCAACTGCAGCTTCTCATGCTCTTATATCTTAGACCCCCGGGACCCGCTTTTCCTCCGGATTGGGTCCCTCTTTCTGTCCCAGGTGGTGAAGCAGTTTGGGACGGATCACGTTTACAACACCGACACCTTCAATGAGATGACTCCTCCGTCCTCTGACCCCGCCTACCTGTCTGCTGTCAGTCGCTCTGTCTTTGCCTCAATGACTGCAGGTGAGTGTGTTTATGACTAACATCCTGTTCATTGTGAGCCTTAAACCTGATAACTTCTCTGAATGCTAATATTTTGGGATACAAGTACAATAATTGCTCTACTTTGATGACCCTCAGATGACCTGTTGTCCAACTACGAATTTCAGTCATGTTTAGGAATTGTCCTACTCTTGTCCCTCCTCCAAACCTCATTTTTTCCCTAGTTGATCCTCGAGCAATTTGGCTGATGCAGGGCTGGCTCTTCTTCAGTGATGCAGCATTCTGGAAGCCAGCCCAGATTCGGGCCCTACTACACGGAGTGCCCCTTGGACGAATGATCGTGCTCGACCTGTTTGCCGAAACGGAACCAATTTTCTCCTACACTGATTCATTCTATGGACAGCCATTTATCTGGTGCATGCTGCATAATTTTGGTGGTAACAATGGTTTCTTTGGTACAGTGGAAAGCATCAACTCAGGGCCTTTTAAAGCCTTGCATTTCCCAAACTCCACTCTTGTGGGCTTGGGAATGGCACCTGAGGGCATAGAGCAAAATCCTGTCATGTATGAGTTGATGAGCGAGCTGGCTTGGCGCAAGGAGCCTGTCAACTTGTCCAAGTGGGTGTCACTGTATGCAATACGCCGTTACGGCAGCACAGATGAAAACCTAACAGCTGCATGGGTGCACCTGTTCGCCAGTGTCTATAACTGCACTGTGCCACATTACCGAAACCATAACCACAGCCCACTGGTGCGCAGGCCTTCCTTCCACATGAATTCTGGCCTTTGGTATGACCGGGCTGACTTGTATAAAGCCTGGAAACTGATTTTAGAGGTGGCTCCTTCTCTCATGTCCAAGGAGACCTTCCGGTACGACCTTGTGGATGTGACTCGGCAGGTCCTACAAGACCTGACAACAACCTATTATCAAGATATCATAGATGCCTTCCACAACCAAAAGCTGCCAGAGCTGCTGACTGCAGGTGGCGTGCTGGTCTATGACCTCCTCCCTGAGCTCAGTCGTTTGCTGAATAGTGATCGCAATTTCCTGTTAGGGAAGTGGTTGGAGAGTGCACGATCCTTAGCCCTGAATGAGAGGGAGGCACAGCTCTATGACATGAATGCCAGAAACCAGCTCACGTTGTGGGGTCCCAGCGGTGAGATCCTGGACTATGCCAATAAAGAGTGGGGAGGGCTCATTGAAGACTACTACGCCCAGCGGTGGGGACTGTTTGTCCATATGCTAGTAGAGTGCCTGGACAGTGGACGACCATTCAAGCAGGACACCTTCAACCAGGCAGTTTTTCAGGTAGAAAAGGGATTCATTTACAATCGCAGGAGGTACCCGACCAAGCCTCAGGGAGACACATACAAGATCGCCCAAAGGATCTTCCTCAAGTACTACCCACAGGCCTTAAAGAGGCTATAGTGAGCAGAGACTACACTGAAAAACACTGGCCTCATGTCACAGCAAGAAGAATGTTTTCCTCCACCTCCACTTTTACATGGCTGTCCCAAAACCTTTTGATTTGAAAATCAGCCTAAATTTACAGGAACACTGTGTTTTGCATATGTACTATAAGTATTGTAGAAAACAGAAACGTTTTCTCCACTAATTAAATATCCATCCATGCCTTATAACAGAGGAGAGTAGAGATGAAAAGTAAGTTGTGGTAATGAGTTACTGAGTTTCAGACAAGTGTGTATTCATGTGCACATTGATGCTTTTTGATTCACCTAAACTTAAAGAAATATTCAGTATTTTTTGTATTAATAATGAGTGTGAGAGATCTTTGGTTGCTCAGACTAGATGAGGGCTATGTACATTTGTAGGACATTCAGCTACCACACAGCCGACACATGAGAGACACTCACACGTCCACAGGCGAATGTTACCGTTAAGCTGCATGTCTTTGGATTGTGCCCTGCACCACAGTGACACTTGATTCAGATTATCAATGAGCTGTAGATGTGTGGTTCCACTTTGGAAATTTTTTTCCCCCCTCTGCCTGCACTCTTTATTGTCCCAACATTAGCTAGATGGATATGAATCTGATATCATTGTCTGATCTCGCTCTCAGAAAGAGAGCAGATAAGCGCGTCTCCTTAAATGTTGAACTATTCCTTTAAATCACACATCCTGCACTGCGACTGCAGGTAGCAGATGGGTAAATAAAGAAGCAAGTAATCTGAATATTGTGGTTTTTTCTGAGCTAAGTGACAGGGTTGTTAGCTGCATTGTCATGAACAAATAGGGAAGTAGCAGTGACCAAACAATTTGGATGTTTTTGATCTTGCTCACATGTACAGTAAGTCTGGGACAGAGTCTGTGCCAAGGTTTTGTTCAATGCTAACAAATGGCTCATGTAGCACCTTAGCAGGTAACTTACTATTTAGTTGTCCCCAGATGACTTCTCCCTTTAAAAATATATTTTTGTATGAGAATCTATCGGTGTTAAACTGAGGGACATCACATGTACATAAACACCATCTGCAGAATGTTGTTGTTTTTATGAGTCACATTGTTTTTATCTTGGAACGCTCAAATGTAGATGATCGTTTTTGCATTTAGTTGTACTTCAGGATCATTTTAATGTCACGGGAGAATAGCAATGTCACCACATGAGCACGGCTGAAATTCATAATATGCCAACAAACGATCCATTAGTTTGTGTGTTGAATATATTGTATTTTTGTATTTTTATTAATGAAATTGTTGTGATCCTTCAACTCAGGCATGTCATTAAAGTCTTAAAGGCTCAGTGACTAATACATTGTTTTCATTCTCGATCTCTTTGCTGTATGTGTGATCGGTGCTGACGTCATCATTCATTTGACCAGCATACAGATTCATCTCTCGACTTAATCCTGTGCAGGAGTAACCCCACCCGCTTTGGGTGAGAGACACCAGACAGTAACATGACAGTAACCATTCATGCTCCTCATTTCAGAGTGTCTAATTTACTGTATGTGTTTGGACTGTGGGGGGGAAACCCATGCAGCACAGACAGACTGCACATTTGTACTGGTAAATGAATTAAACTACTACACAAAAATGAATAGAGCATAGAATAAGTACATGTAGTGATACCAAACTGTTAAAAGGGTCATTACAAGTATTAATAAAACATGTATTCAAAGTGTATAAAGTGTACAAAGTATCAGCCACAGTGTTAATGACTCCAACATCTGAAACCTGATGAGGAGCCACATCCCAAGCTAAAAATCTATTTTCACTTCTATAATGTGTTGTACGTTAACTTTTTTTTTTTTATTGAAATTGTAACCAGTAAACTGTAGTGGAGTAAAAAGTATAATATTTCCTTTGAAATGGTTTGTATTTATATAGAGCTTTTCTAGTCTTGATGACCACTCAAAGCTCTTTACAGTACAGTTTTCCATTCACCCATTCAAGATTCACGATTGTTTTATTTATCACATACACAATCATACACAGTACAATGCTTAGTGAAATTGTTTTTGTTCCTGCTACCAGAATAGTAATACATTTAAATATGAAGAAAATAAAGATAAAGATATGCAATATTGTAGTATAGACAGTATTACTCACACACATTCATACAGTGCATCTATCAGCAGCACTTTTTGTTCTATGAGGGGCAATTCAGGGTTCAGCATCTTGCCCAAGGGCACTTCGGCATGCAGATGGGGAAGACTGGGGATCGAACTGAACGACCACTCTACCCCTCAGCCACAGCTGCCCCAAAGTTTTCGGGGTAAAAGTATGAAGCACCAATCAAAGTGACCTCAAAATTGTACTCAAGTTTACTTGAGTAAAAGTACTTTTTAGTTTACACATTCAATTTTATAAATTAAATAAATAAAGCTTTCGACATTTTGTAGTGGCTCAAGATTAAGTGTCTCTATCAGGAATGTGCTTTTATAAATCATATTTAAGTTGTATCTCTAAACACAGATATAAGATGTTACATGGATACTGAAATACTGTATCAACTAGACATGATCAGCTCATTTGGTCCTATTTTTGAAAGCATTTAAAAATGTATTCCACTAGTCATGAATAAGAATGGATATTTATATTAGCCATTCTTATTAACATATTAATGCAGGATATTGATTATTTTCCTGTTAAGTTGTTATTGAGATTATGATCAACTAATGGCAGCAGTGTACTTTTCATTGGATGTTTCATTTATATTTGTATATATTTCCATTTAGTTTTCCCTTGTCTGATGTTGTTACGTTGACCATTAACCACATTATTTAAAATAACTAATAATTTCATAATTTAGTCTTATTTTTATATTACCTACCTCTTATGCAGTGGTTTGAAAGAAAGCAGAGAACAGCTAGTGAGACAAAAAATGACTCCAGAAATGAGGCGGCTCACAAAATACTTTGATTAGTATTTTTATTGTTGAAAAAATAATGATTATCAGGTTTATAGGTGTTGAGGGATGTTCCTCTCCTTATGTACACTATGATATTTTCTGTTCTGTTTCAGGCTCATATATAAGATGTGTTAAATCCAGTATATCAAAATTCAAACATTCTCAAAACCCACACTGCGAAGATGAAGAGCTCCATATCCACGGCTCATCAGGGCGGAGCAGGTTCAGCTCCTCAGAAAACTCCACGTGTTGGAATTGAGTTTGTGGATTCCTGGAAATCCAACAGCGGTGGAGAAGCTGAAGTGCTCACGCCCCACGCTCTCTATCCATCAAAACATTTGGATTTCATGATGACGGCAACGACAGCATGCCACAAGCATTCACACTGCAAACCTTTTAATCTTTATCACGGATGGTATTCCACAGCCAGTCATACCAGCTGTGCATTTACACCAGGCATCGCACAAAGACACTTAAGTGGATCAAAAGTCATCACCAGGAAGAAAATGGCTGAAGGATGTTAGAGCCAATCAGAACCACAGATATATTTTTTTTACGTCTGTGCTTTTGGTACAACATGTGACACCTTTTCCTTTCCTTAATGCTGCATTCCTGCCCAGTAGCAGAGTGTGTGTAGATATTTAAAAAATGCAGCTCATCTCATCTTGGAGCTGGTGAGATCAGTCTCACTTAAGAAACTCTGACAGCGGTAGTGACTGATTGGATTAATTCAACTGGTTCTTCCCAGCTGACATAAATGCAGCATTAAAACAGGAAGGTTGCTATGACTGAAGGCAAATGATTCTGATTGGCTGAAAAGACACTTGTGCCCTTAAACCATCCTATTACTTTAGTCTTCCTGGATCCAATTAAGGAACCATACAGATGGTTTTGCATATTTTCCCCATTTACTTGACATTACATTACTGCCATTCATTTTTCAAAGCATCTAATAAGGTTTCAGACTGATGTCGAACCAGGCAGCTGCTGACTTGAAGTCATTTCAGCGTGTTGTGAAAATTCACTGACTCATTTGAAATGTTCTGTGGCGTTACAGTTTGGAGAAAGACTAGTGCCTTTTATCAATTAATAAGTATTTGAACAATACAACTTATAAATCTATAAATATACAGATTACAAAGAAATTCGTTATTTGATATTTAAGGGTCGATAAAATTTATTACAAAAATAATTATATTCATATTAATTCATCATTTCATACTTCAAACTAATGAGATGTTGATGAGTCAAGGCAAAAACATTTCATTTAGTGACAAATTTAAGACAAGAAGACTGAATTTCATGTGTCTCTTTGTCCCTTTTCTCTGAGTTTTCTTAACTTCAATTTCCCTCTTCCAACTTAGACGGACATTGAAGTTTTTCTTCTCTTTTGGAATATGCAGTCTCTAACTGGACTTGATTTTATCAGAGAAAAGATCACGTTTGATTGAATTGTAACGCAAACAAAAGCAACTGAATCAACCCGGACATTTACTCAATTCAATGAACACCGTGCTTTGAAAACAGCTGGCAGTAATGTACAGTACATATATTTGTAGTTATGGTCTAAAACAGGTCACACCAGCTCTATGGTTCTTCAATGGAGATTAACAGCTTAGGTATTCTGTTTTAAATGTCACCAACTGGCTATTCCATTATATCCATTACTCTGTAGTGCACGAAAGACAAGTTTCAAATCGGAGAAGCCAACAAGCTGGAGTTCTAGAATATACTGTAAATCATGTTTTGGCCTGTATTGGACTTTTCCTGGTCACAAGGAGAGCAGCAGAAATGTAAACAACATAGAACCAGAGCAAACACAGGTTCCCTTCTTCCGCATCTTAATCATGAGAGGTGAGGAGCCAGAAAAGAAGTCAATTTAATTTGTACTGTTGGACTGATACAGTGCACTCACCCTGGATTATCACAAGTCAGCATGGCCCAGTGTGGTCCGCGCCGATATGACACACGCCATGCAGTGCAAGCAGTTACATTGCATTGTAGTCCTGAGGACTACAATGCAATGGTGTCATATTTATTTCCAGTATGGGTAAAGGAGCAACCAGAGATGATACCACACTTGTGAGGTAGCAGAGGTGAGTGGTCAGGTCTGAATCCAGACTCTAAATTCTATCTTACAAACCTGCAACATGCACAACTATCCAAATGATCAAATTTAGAAGTGGTCAGTTCTGTTACATGTCTGCGCTGCTGCTGGTAGATGCCAATAAAAGGGTTTAATACAAGTTCTAACCCATTTACCACTAACGTTACCATTGCAATTACTTCATTATGCTTTATATGTATTTTGTAATGTCTAGGCAGTCACTGTTTCACTGTGCTATGAAAATCAACTTGCAGTGTTAAAAGGTACATTTACATATACCCATAATTTACTCCAGTGGCCAACTCCTGGCTCCATACCGAGAGTGTTTAGTCTTTGTAGTCAGTGATGGTCATTCAGACCATCAAACGGTACAGGCAGACATAAGCCTGAGAGGAGGCTGGAGAAACATAGAAAGTAAATGATCTAAAACTGCTCCAGGCTGTGATGTAAAGAGGGAATGACTAATGAGATGTGATAAATGGGATCAACATGTAAAAAAAACCCTTCAAATAAAAGCTCTCAGTAACATCGGTTGACACTGATTGAAGGGGGGGGGGTCAAAGTTAAAGGTTGCATTACAGCGGGTCAGTTCACTATCAAACCAATTCAATCAACAATGCCCTGTATGCTAATGCATGATATGCCTTTGTTAGTTAGCCATAATACAACTGACTAGAAACAGGAGAGATTCATAAAGCTGCCAGAATGATCAATAATCAATATTTCAAACACAGACACAACATGGAGACATGAACAGAAAATAAGGCAGTGACTAAAAAAATAAATTCTTCTCTAACTCCTGTTATTATCCCTAAAATAATCCCTAAATTTCACATTGATTATGTATTAATTTTTTAAAAAAGGTTAGAAAAAATATTTCTGATAGTTTGCAGTCTCTTTTGGTTCAGATTAAAATCAAAATACATTTGATTACGTTAATTTGCCAAAGATAAGTGTTTTCATATGGTTTGGTTATAATCATGTATTACAAGCTGCAGAGGTCTGTGCATATTCTCAGGTAAAATCAAAGCTGGTTTGTGGCGTTCTGGGGCAGTGACGTATAGCATTAGATTTTAAAGCAGCTCCTTGTTAGTGTAGAGAACAGAGGATGGGGTCAGTAAAGCTGTACAGAAACTTAAAGACCAGACAGTGGCACAAAGGCAACTTAACAATGATAAAGTGGAACTATTTCAATCTTAAAAACACACAGTTGGTTAAAAAGTCTGTTGCATTTGTGCTAGTGTGTACAGGCAGAGAGCAGGGAGACACAACACTTCATTGGCTGTAATCACACTAGAACATCAGACTGAGATGAGGATGGACATTCACACTGAAAGCTTCACTCTCATTTCTGTTGTGATTAGTGGGATTGCTAAACGTATTTTTGATTTCCCTTATGTGGGATGGAAAAAACATTAACTAGAAACTAATCAAATGACCGCAAGTCAGACTGTGAACCTGCCCGGGGGCCTCTGGGTGTCTGGGGTAGCGCTGGTAATCCTGCCTGGTCTCGGGGGTGAAAGGCTTCCATCCGTCGTGGGACATCCCTCATTGTGACCATGACTTATCAAACTCAAGATTGAACTGCTCGTGAATATTTGCACAACTAAACAGAACTTGAGCTTCAAAGTCAAACAAAACAAAATTCGCAGAAAATAAAATATCACAAGGTCTAATTACCATGTTTTTTCCCCCCAGAGCTTTCAGTTAAATCTTGTGGCGTGCACCAACCCAAACCTAATCTGCTAATGAAGGCCATGGCATGAGGCTGAAACCAACTTCAATTTGTTTTCAAAAGAAAACACAACATCTATGTTATGTCTGGACGAGACAAACCGCCTCAGGCTTCCAGAAATCTACCGCAGCTACACTGTGTCCGCAGCACTGGTGTCAATACAGTTCACAGCACCCTCAGACCTGGTACGAGGACATTAGAATTAGCGTACAGACCAGACACTCTGTGTATCAATCAATCTTTACCAAATATGACTCTAATGAACCGGCGAAGCCGTTTGCTCCACCTGAAATCCTCGTGCTTTACTAGGATCCAGTATTCTGACATCCACCTGCACTGAGCCACAGAAGCCCCAACACCCCCCCCACCCAAAAAAAAAACATAAAACCATTCAGTTGCTGTCTTTCCCTTTTTTAGCAGCGACTCAGTCAGTAGAATCTCATTAAAGCAGCACGTCTCAAAAATCTTTTTACTACAATCTTAAAAATCCTTAGGGAAGTTATAATTATTAAAGTAATGTCAACCAATCACAGCACATCATATGTCCCCCCCAGTATAACATGTTGCTTCTGTCAAACCCCACAAAGCATCGGGAAGGGTGGAGCTTCCAATTGTTGCCCGGATATAAATCAAGTCATTGCATAACGATAAATGGAAATCACGAAGGAGCTCATGGCTAATCCAAGACTGATTTGTAGTCCACAGCGAGGAGCACAGGCTTCAGAAAAAAGAGGTGATTTGGCAGCTGAACATGTACAACAATTAAAATAGCCATGGTAAAAGACAATACACTGTGTAAGTTCATTGTATGGTTAAGAGGATGAGATCAGGTCAATCATGAGATAAGACTATATAAAACAATCATGTAGAGTTGAACAACCAGACAGCATGAGGATCATCTTGTAGGACAATAGTAGTAATATTAAACATTTTTCGTACAGTAAATTTACCTGAGTTAGATACCTGTAGACAGTGGTTTCAACAAAAACACAAAACGACAACCCGACTTAAACAACAACATTCTGCAGACTTATTGTTTTACCCGATGCTCACAAACTGGGAGCAAATCTGGGTTAACTGACTCTCAAGACGCCCTGAAAACGAATGCGGTTAGCAATGGAGGGATTTGTCAGCGAGCTGTGAAACTGTAGTAACTACTGTAGTTTATGTAGTTTTTTTATATATATATATATAAGCTTCACTGTCCAATAATTATCAGCTAAAGTGAACTTTCGGGTTGCTTGATTTAAAAAAAACTGGATATGAAAAATCTGTTTTCAGCATATGACTGAGGATCAGCCGAATCCACAGCTGTTAAACTACTATTCGCGGACCGGTAACAGCCTCTGAGCTCATGTCAACAGATCTTTTCCATGACGATCAAACAAACTTCTTCCACTGATGAAAAGCTTTGGAGCAGGAGAATACGAAGCCAATCCAAAGGATCGGGAGTGGTTCCGATCCAGGTATTGTTTAGAATGCATCATATCAGCTTGAATCATTTCCAGTCCTAATCTGTCTCCTAATTTGCCAGTTTTTAAAACAACCTTATGCTTTAAAGAAAGAACACAACAGCTCCAAAACCATGTGATGGTGCTGACTGACTTGGTATATGCACTCTGAACTTCCTGCACTTCCTGTATAAACCACTTGTGGTTGCAGAAACCGCTCCTTGCCACCGATCAGCAGAAGTCTTGCTTTAAAGAAAGCACTGAGTCACGCTGGATGAAATTATTACAGCTACTAAGCTTCAAGCCAGACAGCTAGAAAAATCTAACAGCTGATTAAAAAGAGAAGTTGGATTTGCTTTATCAAAATACATGTAACGTATCAGTGGCAATGGCAAAACGGATGAAAATGTCTATTAAAGCACAAGTAATTGTATATTGCAATATTGACAGTATGTAGTAAATCTCAAAGAAATTCAATTGTTACTTAAATGTCTGCATTTGGCATCTGAAAAACAAACCCACATTTCTATAAAAGATATGTAAAACCATATTGCCATAACACTCTGCAGCACACAAAAGACTTTAAAGGGACTCTTGCTACTTGAAAAACGTATCTTACTGGTATAATCCCTCCCCCTAGTTTCATATGTACTGTTGTCCTCTTTTAGATTTCAATGCATTATAAATGGACTAAAGTTGAATTTCAGGTTACACGGAGCTTGTCTGGGCATCAGTAAATCATGCAGATGACGATGTTGTGTTTAAGTACAGGGTTGTAATGCCTTCATGGACTGATTAGTGCATGTAGCATGTAGAAATGCAGCCGTCACCTTATGCCACTTCCCCTCTGCATACAGGCACACGCACAAACACACACACGCATGTAACCGATGGACCATCACGATCAGGTGAGATGATGATGATGATGATGATGACAACGAAGATGGTTCAGATTTAAGATCCACTTCTTTGATTCTTCCCTCTGCCCTGCCTTTTGAGAAGAGAGGAGGAGGGGTGACGGGGAGGAGCAGTTGTGGAGCTTCAGATGGGTTGGGAAAGGAGTGGGAGCTCTAAGCAGCATCACAGAGGATCTGCTCCAGCACCGTCAGCAGGTGTTTGAGGCCGTAGATGTAGCCGTGATCGTGGCTCTCGCTTGGGAATACGTGGGCAAAGTCAATCATCCTCACCTCCACCCCTGTGTCTCTTCCACTCCCCTCTGTAGTCTCATTCCCTTGTCCTTTCAGCTCCTCTGCCTCCTCCTCCCTCCCCTTGCCGCGGTCCTCCCGCTCTCCATCTACAACGTTTCTTTCCAGTTGTGGCTTGTTTCTGTTGCCGTTCGGTGGTTGCTGTGACTCACCCGTTCGTTTCCATGTGGAGTTGTCTTCCTGACACAATACAGAGTTGTTATCTCCAGAAACTGAGCTCACTGTTGTCTCCACAGCTTCATCCACTCCACTGGTGCCTTGGAGATGACCCTTGGCACAGTGGTGGCCATGTTTCCTGTGGTTGGTGTAAATTGTGGCGAGGCTGAAGTCCCAGGGCACCACCACTTGAATGTTGTTGTTGTTGTACTCGGCCACCACCTCCTCCTGCCCCACCCCTTCCTGTCTTGCTCCCCCATCTCCCCTCTGACAGCCGTCAACCGCTGATGACAACGTGGCTGTTTTCACCCCAGTCGGGCTGATGGATGGGGTGCTGAGAAGGAAGGAATAGGAGGGAGAGGAGGAAGAAGAGGGGAGTCCCTCATAGACAAAGAGGAGGGAACTAGCGTAGAAGGCCAGTTGGTGCTGAGACTCAAACCAGTGGAGGATTTGCTGCACCCTGTGGATGCTGGCTGACACTGCATCCTTTCTCAGACAAACACCATTATGGAAGAATTTAGCCAGACCTGGAGTGGAGAGGAGAGGAGAGGAGAGGAGAGGAGGAGAGGATATTTTAGAAACTAGACTGTGTGAGACTCTGTAAATTTGTGAATATATGAGATTAATGTTATTTGAAGATGTTGTTACTAAAGATGCCACCCTAATAAAATGAACCTGTGGTAAATGTGAGGTTATTCTTCTTCTTCACCACATATTGTGCTTATTATACTGAAGTTCTGAAACATTCTTCCTATACTTCAATGTCAGTGGGAGAACGTGACTTGTTGAATGTGCTGATCACATTATAGATTACAAACACACATACCTTCCTTAATAGTGTCCTTAACCAGTGCTCTTCCATAGTGCTGATCATAGGAGTCAAAAGTGTCACTGCACATGTTATATACCTGAAATTCAAGAAAACACGTTAGTTAGTGTGTAACTATGATAATGGTGTTTATACATACACTTTACGTACCCACAAAGAATAAGTTACTCATTATGGCCATCTGTCAAATTCACTATGACTGGTTCTGTCTCCAACATCTGTCTCCATCAAGCCATGAAACCCATAGCTGGATGATGCTTCATTTTCAACATCTATAACCAAATAATGTTAATACTATTTTTATTTTAGATTAGAACACACATCTTACTAGGAATTATCTGTTGTTGTAATCATCAGAATGTGCGCCTCGTCACGAGGATGTATCTATACTTATGAAACAAAATAAAGACACAATCCAGATATACTGTAGTTCAGGGAGAACTTGACCAATCACATAACACAATAACACTTTTTACTACACATTACTTAAACACTGATCAAAGTGTGGAAACAGTGTGGAGAAAAATACCAGGAGTAATAATGCAGCAACACACAGAAAATTGAGACTTATAAATGTCTTAAAACTGCAATCACATGATCGGCCCACAGCCAGTCATATACAGTAAATACTAAGCATGATTTCAAATCTCTTATCACCAGAAGAGGGCACAGATATCTATAATCTCTCAGATATCTCAAAGAATAGAACAAGAGGTAGAGCCTTCAACTACCAGGCTCCTCTCCTGTGAAACCAGTTCCCAGTATCTCTATCGCAGATCTGCGTGGCACATCTTCAGGGTTCAGTGGACTGAGTGCAGCGGGCAAGTGTTTAGTTGCCATGGCTCAGTTACTGCAGGTCACATTTACAGTTTCAGAAAGAAAGCTGCAACTAGCAATACCACAGGCCGAGCAAAAAACACACCAGGCAGGATTAGAACGAACTCTGCCTTGGTCTCGTTTTTTCTCTTTTCTTTACCATGGTTTGTGCTCCCCTCTCTCTCTTTCTCCCTATCCTCATCTTTTAAGTATCTCTGACTCCAGAGCTGCAGGATACAGATCTGACCCTACTCAACAACAACAACAATTATTAACACTATTATTACCAGGTGCTGTTATCATCAATAACAACATTACATCTGTAAATATCAGTCATTAGCATTGTATTAGTCATTAGTATGGGCACATTATTAACTTAACCCCTGATTGTAGAAATACTGGCTGCCTTTAAAAACCTTTAAAGCATTTATGTTTTATGTTAAGTGTTTCTTTTGTTGTAGTTTTCCTTACTCTAGTTGAGGGTTCATTACAGAGGATGTCACACCTTGTTAAAGCCCTATGAGACAAACTGTGATTCGTGAATATGGGCTAAACAAATAAAATGTGATTGATTGATTGATTGATTGATGTTCAACCCACCTCTGAGCCTATTAAAAAAAACTCGGCTTTGTACTAGCAACATAATTCAAACCTGCAGAACTCGATCTGTGTGTTAGGATAATGTATTCAGTTCTGAAGTTCTGTACTGCCCTGCACTGCTCAATACTGTATAAATTATTTTGTGGAAATAGGTTTTTTTGTACAGAACATATGATCCATAGTGGAACGGTGTTGAAGTATAATTTTTTCCTGATTGATTAGAGATCATACAATAGGTCCCAGTGGATAAATGTTCCATTATGTACACAGACGAGTCGCTGAATGTGTCTGTCTGGTATTTGTAGCAGAGCAAGATCTGCGGCCGGAGACGAGGCTGATGGGAGCAGTGACACATGGGCTGGAAAACCCAAACAATGAGCTGAAAGAGATGAAGGGGGTTTTCAAACCTGAAGGTCCAGATCAAGGTATTTGATCCAATTCTGGGAGTGCAGAGAATAATTCAGTGTGACATACGTACATCCTGTCATTATGACCTATGTGTGTCTACCTGTACCTGACATTGATTAAGCTGTGGACGGGCATAAGTATGACGTCAGTGTGTCAATTCGGCGGGCAGTAGTTTTTCTGTTCTCTGGAGAAAATCAATGGAACTGATTCATTTTGCTAATCTTATTGACATTGTAATATCATTATATTACCACCAGTATCACCAGCCAGCACAGTACATGGCACTGTTATATCGTCAGAGGTAAAGACTGCAAGTAATCCTGCAAGCCTGGGTTACTCAGTTTCTGAAGAGAGCCCAGTAATGCTTCTTCTTATTTTTCTTCTTCAATTGTTTAACACTCCCTCAACTTCCTGAAATTGGTGCAAAAATCCAAACTCAGTGTTCTCAATACTGCAAAAGATTCCAACCATGGTTCAGTTTGGTCTGGACCCAGATCACCACTTTTGGCGAGATCTCGGTCCGAGGAACCTTCCACACCCGATATTTTGGTTCAGACTAAAACGATAAGTTTGAGGGTGCAGTCCAAGTAAAGTAGGTGTGAAATCACCCTCAAAAGCTGCTGTCTCTACAGGAAACACCTTTTTGTGTCAAGCTTATCATAGAAGCTGGTTAATGTACTCCCTCTCCAGTACACATTTCTGCAAAAAATGTTGCTTATTTATTAACATTCATTGTGTGCTTTATGTGAACCTGTGGTGCAGCAGCATAGATCAAACATTCCGTTCACCTAACCTAAGCCCACAAGTGCACACTATACCTTTATGACCAGTTTACCAAAGGTGGGGACATGCTGCAATAAAGCTGCTGTCCCATCACTGACTGTCATTTACATTGAGGGTCTGGTTGGACAAACATCATCAGGCCTTTCAGGACAAACCATCAGTCAATAAGCTGTTTCCGTATGTACACTAAGACTGGCAGTTCCAATGTATCACTTATGTATTTCCTCAGAATACAAGTCACGATCTCCTCATACTCCTGTCCTGAAACCCACCCACATCCCTGCATGTCGTGCTCCTACTGAGGAGGCTGCTGCTCTCTCAGTCCCTCTTATGTAAGCTTAGATGAAGTTATGTGACCATGGATAAATGTGGATGTTCCCATCCTTGGTAGAATGGATGTAAAGGACTGCATTGTCCTACCCACTGGGTTTGATGGGTAACTTTCTGAAAACAAGACTGGATATTATTTATTTTAATTCAATCTGTAATTAACTTTCTTTTCAGTTAAAACCACAATTTTCAAAAGGCACAAAGTAAAAGAAATGCATTAACTGCATCTTAAAAACTGCCAGTGAAGCTTTAATGTATTGTTTGCAGTATTTTGGTTTTAAAAGAAGAGTGATACAAATCAGAGATGTAATTGAGAGCATTGTTTCATTGGTAAACTTAAGACGACATCATTCTCATGAGTCGGTAGCATATAAACTACTCTTCTGGTGAAAGGACAGGCGGATGCAGAGCATGCAGAAATGTAAAACTTGTTCAGGCAGTTCAATTTGTTGCAAGACTAATGTTTCCATGAGGAATGAATGAGTCTCAGTGAGTATTTATATGGAGCTCATGTGGGAATCAACAAAGCTTTAAACCCAGCTGATTCAATTAACTTGTTTCCTATGTTGCACAAGAATTCCAAAAAGATTCATTTCATGTATTGTTTTTCGTTTGTTTCTCTCTGCAGACAAGAAAACCCAAACCAGGACCCACACTGATGATGATGACAATGATACTGGTGGTAGGGTGTAATGGAAACAGATCAAACTGATAAATGTTTCGCTATTTATTCTCTTCCTTTCCTACAGATAAGACGTCCTCTTAATTTCCTGTCATCTGTCTGTATCACGCATGAAGACAAAAAAATGAGACACTCACATGATATGTTTTGTGAGTGTGTGTGTGTGCTTATATCTTTATTAGAACCATTTTAACTATATTTTTCTTAGGGTTAGGTTAGGGTCAGGCATGTAGTTGTCATGGTTAGGGTAGGGGCTATAGGGAATGCATATTGTCAATGAATGTGTGTGGGTTAGGGTTGGGGTGTGTGCGTGCGTATGCATGAGAAAGTGAACTTTGTTCTATTCTGCTCAGTCAACAACCTGATCATATTCCAAATCACATGTGTGACATATCGACTTCTGTTCTTGTGTGATGATTTGTATGAAATGTTTTATTATCACACTACTGTTTTGATCTCAGTTCGGTACAATGACTAGGTAGTGGATATAAAAGATTATTAATCCGAGTCAACTATGTAGATTTGTTTTTGTAGAACAATGAGCATGGAACCAGTTAAACTGTGCCCATGTGGGAGATGGGGGTGCGAAGGTGTCCTGAAGTTGCAGATAGGTACCAGCAGGGGTCAACACATACGGCCTCAATAACAGCTGGTTTTCCAAGTGTAACTCATGAAACACCATGACCGATAAAGTATAAAACAACGAGATAAAAGTAATCCTACCATGAGCTGAGTCTGAACTAAACATTAATCTTGTCCTTAATGGAGAGGGAATACAAATACAGACTGCTCCTTTCAAAGCACAGTTCCTGATTACAGGAAACTGGAATGCATTTCTGTGATTGACCGACTTCAACACAATGTTAAACCTGAGGGTTGATATTCTCACAATGCTTCTTCTTCAATGTCTAACAACTGCAACAAAGTAATTCATACAATTTGTATGAATGAACTTAACAAAAGACTGATTCTATTGCCACCTGTTTATAGCACCACTAACTGATGTAGTAATGAAGGTAATAATGAATAATTATAACTTGTATAGCAGATCATTTTAATCTACATGATGTCACAACAGAGACTGAATAACTCAGAAAGGGACTTTGCACCACACTTTAAAGGAAACTTTATAGGAGGACTAGACGTCAATATGAAACCAGTAAACCTGAAACTAAGACAAAGCTTACATGTCACATTCTATTTCTAAATCTTTGCAGCGCAGCATCTTGTTTATGGTGTTATTTATTAATATATTATGAAAGCCCACAAATAAAATATAATTCTGTGAAAACACTGAAATTTAGCACGTGCTATTTATCACAGGATGATAAACTTGCACAAGATTCATGGATTGTCTTAGAATGGCTTTTTTTTTCGTTAAACAGACACTTGGGAGTTTTGAAATAATTACATAGGTAGAGCAACAGCTTAAACTCACCCTCATGCCGAGGACCAGGAAGCCGATCTCCTCCATCAGTGGGTATTTTCTGACCTGCTGCTCACGTTTCTCCTGCGAGGCGAACGGGTCATAGCTGCGCTGGCCCAGCTTCACATCCATGATGCACGGCTTTACGAAGCGACGAGTCACATCCTCCAGCTTCAGGTACAGGTCTGAGAGACGAGAGGGCTGACTGATTACAATGGCTTATATGTAAGCCAAAATATGTTAAATTGGGCTTTGGCCTCTTATTGTGATTTTACTATGGTGAATTTATAT